AGAAATTCCTATTGCACAGCAAAAAGACTTCCAAACATTTTTATTATCACATATATCTTATATACCAAAAGGTCAAGTGTACCCAGTACAAGCTACTTTCTTTGGTACAATTATAAATAAAAATGGTTGAAAATTACAATTTTTACGCTAATGAATCATTAGGAGAAAAGGAAAACCGTGTAGATAGGTATGGATTACGAAAACTTCATGATACATTAAAGCAAACAACTAATGAAAATATACCAACTAGGTCCATTAAAAGACAAGCAACATCACAAACACAAAGAGATAGTGAAAGTGATGAATCCATCATGTTTGTTGATAACGGTGAAAATCCAGTTCCATCTACAAATGTGTAAAAACATATAAATAACCAAAAACGTAAAATTCAACGGAATGATGAACAAATGAACAATTGCAATGATTATAATGAAATAGATTACGATGAATCATACGAAAATGACAAAAGAAAAACAAACAACTATCGAATCTTCTCAAGAAAAACAAAAATGAAAGAAAATACAAACATTTCAACAAATTCCTTAAACAATGACACAAAATATCGCAACACAAATAAAAATAACAACATAACCAACCTTTCGTATCCTGTAAACAATCCATCAATATCCTATGCTATCGATATGTACCTTGCTCCAATTCAAATCAAATGCAATCCAAAAATAATGAATAAAACCGATGCATTGAAATTTGTACAGGATTTTTTAAAGAAAATTGAAAATTTCTTTAGAATTAAATACACAGATCATAAAAAAGTATTAGGTTTTGACTACTGGTGGATTAATAATGATGGAGAAATAATGGGAATTACAAAGGATATATCATTGTATATCTACCTATGCGACACAAGACATTATCCTGAACAAGTGGAAGCTTATCAAATTACACCTATATTACCTATTCATTTACCACCACAACATGCCGTAATAATTAAATTCGTTCCAAACGAATACCACATATTCGATATTGAAGAAGAACTCAAAAGAAAATACACTTCAATTTATCATATTGATGAGATGAGCGGCACTAGAAGATCACATAATAGACATATAAGAATCGATGTATACAACAAAAATGAACAAATCGAAATGTTAAATAGTGGAACAATTACACTAAATGGATTAATATACGAAGTAGATGAATATCTACCAGCACGAAAAGTATTAATTTGTACAAAATGTGATACTCCTGGACACGCTAAGAAGGCATGTCGATTAGGATATGATAGGTGTAGAAGATGTGGTGATAATCGGAACGATGGAGACCACACTCAATGTAAAATTACCTGCCACCACTGTGGTGGTGATCATCAAGCAAACGATTACAAATGCTCAACTGTACTAAAATTTCGACGCGAACTCATTGATCAACTACGCAAAAACTCCAATAAACTACTACCTCATATACAAATGTTTATTCCACTCGACTGTCGATTACAAAAAGATGAAAAGATATTAGCAAATGAAAATACAAAACAATCAACAAAATCCAACCATCAGTTTAGTTATTCAAACTCACTACGAGAATGGCCAATGCTTGAAAAATATACCCACATCCATATGTACGATAAACAAATTAATGATGTACATAATGATCTTAATACCCTGAAACGTGATTATCAACTTGAAATTGAAAAAATTAACAAGAAGGTACATTACCATTCAACCTATATACAAAAAACTTGTTTGTTGATGTAAACGCAAATAAAAACGCATAAAGAAATAATTGACTCGACCTTATCGATGATAAAAGAAACTGCTTTTAACACGAATATTAATGTTATTAAAATGATGAACAATTATGCTCAAATATTTAATGATACAAAAACAAATGATCAAACAAAAATCAAACTAAACACGTGGCAAGAAGAAATGAAAAATCAACAACGATATGTATATGAGTGAATCGTATTTTTGTTGTACAATTAGCAAAAAAAAATGAAAGTGTATTTAGCGAAGATTTAAATTGCTCATCTTATTCGCAGTCGTTTACTGAGTATACGGTAAAAATTTCCCAACTACCACATGTCAGGAAACTGAGATATCTCTGTATTAATATTCGTTCATCTAGTCTCATAAAAACAGTGTAAAGTATTAGCTCAACAGCAGACACATGATATATCGTTCGATAGATTTCAATGTGCTTAATCGAGTGAAACTATGAACAGTCAGAGTGGCCTCAAAAAACTGATGCAAGATCCTAAGAAACGCAAGTATGTTTTTACGTCGAGCGAGGTGAAAAGACCCACACAAAGTGTTTCTCTACATTTTGTCGTATAACGTAAAATTTTCTAGGAAGACAATATTGAATCCCCCTGAAATTTTTATCAATTGTATAACTTTTTATGCTCTTTATATTGTGTAAATTTCAACAAAATCGATTCAGTCTAAACCCCCTCCCAGAATAAAAGGCCATGCCCTTATACAGTGTCTCGGCACATCATTACTTTTTCCATGGCCTTCTAATTAGGGTGACCTTCTAATACGTCTGAAATTTAGAATGTCCTATGTTTCAATAAGTTTCATTTTTATTTATTTTTTTCATACTAGATACAATTTTTTTTTTCATACTAAAGACAATTTCTTTTCATATTAGAGACTAATTTTTTTTCCACATATCGAGTAGAGTCTTTTGCTTTGTATTCTTGTCAAGATTTCGATTGTGCTGTTCTGTGGCTTTACGAGCTTCTTCTTCAATACGTTGATCATCAGCTATATTTCGATCTTTGTTGGTCGAATAGTCGACATTGGTCGGGTCAAAACAATAGCCTGGTATGCTTGGAGGTCGTACCAAACTGTTATCATTCCACACGTATCCTAGTTCAAGAAATGATGCCATTGGATCAATACTGTTCAGTGTACGAGACCAGGCTGATGAAACGAGTCTAGTGCACAATATTCGCGATTGTGCTGCAGTTAGTTTGATTTTCGATCGACCACCATTTTTTTCAATCCATTCTTCGGCACATTCGTAGTGATGGTGTTTGAATGTAGAAAAAACATGAACATCTAATGATTGGATGTACATAGTACAACCTTTCGGAATTACAGCAATAACGACTCGTTGTTTGCGCATGAGACGAATTGTTTCTTCATTTAAATGAGTAGACGATGAATCCGTAATAAATAACTTTGGTTGTCCATCGTTCACTTTTGAGTACCACCAGCTAATATACTTGTCCATTGTTCTGAAAGTATAAAAGAGGACAGCATATTTTTGATAAGGAAGAGAAGTGTCTTGTGTGAATAACTTACGATCGGTTATTGAATGCTTTTGGTGTGAAGAATACTTTGACTTTAGATGCATATTGCATCTTCTCGTTGTCACTCACTTGACCTTTTCCTTTGAACAAGACCACTGGGCCCACACGAGAGTTATCTTCAGCAAATACTGTTAGTATGACAGTACAAAATCGTTTGTCTGATATGTGACCTTCAATTTCATTTACTGTATTCATATCATTGATTGATAATTTTGTTTGGTCACCGAATAAACTAAGAGGACTTTCGTCCATGTTTACCACGTCACGAGGTAAGAAGGCGCCCATAACACCACGTTTTGGACCCCATGTATTAGCACGCCTGATATATGTATGAAATGAATTGATAAGTAGATGAGCCTCATTGAGTGGCACCTTCTGTTGTTTTTTTGGTTTTTGCAGGGAGAGACGATGGCGGCGCATGAATCGACCATACCACTTCGTCGATGGTGGATGCTCATGCTTGAGTTCGATACAAAGTTGTTTGCCACGTCGTTGTAACTGTTTGAATGTTACTTTTTCTCGTTTAACGACGATCGATGTTGTCATGGTAGATACATTTGACTGAATGGCAGGAGCAGTACGACGTTCCCGGAACCACTCAAGAAGCAATTTGTCGAGTTCAGGATACTGTAGCTTGTGTCCAGCACCAGGAAGACGTTTTCGTTTGCGTCCTATAATCAGTCAAAGCAAGAAAGAATCAGAGATGTAAGAGAGATCGATTTCATAATTGGTAGAAGAACAAAACTCACCATGATTTTGCTTTGATAGTTGAATAAGATCTTCTTTTTGTTTCATCCATTGAGATAATTGATATCTGGAGCAACCTTCCTTTTTTGACGTGAGCAACTTATTACCACCAGCTTTTTCCAGCATATCAACGGCATGTAGCTTCTCTGCAGTTGACCATTGTCGACGTTTACGCTTGCATGATGGATGCTCTTCCACCGAGTTAGATACAGCTGATAACGAAGCAAGCAAGGACGATTGATCAGTTGATACAATATCTGCATTCAGATCATTTAGATCTTCATCGAGTTCAGTATCATTTGAGTTCAAGACTGAATTCGACTGTGGAATATCAGTTGCCCCTTCGTTGTTGTTATCTTCCTCATCATCATCGAGATTAAAATGATTCTTGATCGAAATGGCAATATTGTCTGTTTCATCAACGATCGATATCACTTCGAGATCAGATTCATCCGAACTTGTGTCATTATTATCATCCGATTCAGTTTGTGGTAATGTATACAAATGACACTCAGTGTTCATGATAAAAAAAACTTAGAAGTATCACAGAAAAGAAATACCAAACAAGACGAGTTAGATAAAGTGTAATTTGATAAGTTGTAAAAAATGACTCTCTTTATTAGGAAGAACATGAATATTTATACAACGAGTGAACAAATGATAAGATAATTGAGCAACAATGAACAACAAAGAGAGTAAGCTATTCATCTTTCCTCTTACAATGACAATATAGGTCAAAAAAGAGTAGGTCAAGAAAAGGATGACTATAGATAACATATGGATAACAGCTGACGAAAAAAGAAAAAGAACATATATACAAACAAGATGGAAGAAAGAAAGGGAATGATGACTATATCGACGAATGTATGGTCAAGGGCAATATGTAACAAGACGACGTTTACGCTTTCGACTTATTACTATTTTGTCTATCTTTCTCATTTATTCATGTAGACAAGTGGCCACCACCATATTACAACGCACACTAGGACGTCGTGAAGATGATACACGTTATCTTCTTCTTCGTTTGTGATGTGATATGTGGCGATCATATCCGAATCTCAGAAATTGCAGACCTATTAGAGGGCCATGGCCTTCTAATAGGGCGTTTGAACTTTTGTCCGAACATGGCCTTATACAGAGGGTGGCCTTCTAATATAGGGTGGCCGTCTATTTTGGGGGGGGGCTTTATCAGGAGATAAAGCTAAAGTAAGTTTCAAAATGTTTCTCTACAAAGTGAGTCAAAAACCAATTTTTGAAAAGTTTCCTTGGTTTTCTATAAAATAACAATAAGGAGACTCATACTTTTTTCAATTATTTGGTTACTTGATCCAAGCTCTTTCTTTCGCAGAACGCAGTAGACGTTTACCTTTATCCGTTTGTTTGCTGGGAAGAGTTTTGTGTTTCTCTACACAAAAAAGGAAAAGTGTCTGTAAAAGGATTTTTGTCATAGACGAACAAAAGAGAAATAAGCATTGTATTCGCGATTGATATATTTGAGTAGCCGGTCAGACGCTGAACAGAACATGCTATTTACTTTTTCTTTTTTCTTTTTTTTGTCCCTCACAAACTTCATTTTTTGTACGATGATTCATTAAAAATCATAGATTTTCTTGCCTTCAACCTCTCTATCTCAGCGAGCTAATAAGCTATCGGGCTGAAATTTTGTGTGGTAGTGGGAGGCATACTAAGGAAGCAAACAAAAAAAAGAGACTTTAAGATCGAGCTTTAGGAAACGGATTTCCAGAAGAAATACGTCTAAAATATGATTGTACAACAAAAATACGATTCTCTCATATATATATACTTCGTGCCCCTTTTTCACTCATACGTGTCTGATGATGTCCTTAGTTAGGACGAAACGTCGCAATTATTTTTAATAAATAAAACATGATTGATAGTTTAATTACTTTAATTTTTTCATTTATAAATTTAACACATTCGACCCGATGGGTCCCACCGGTGGGACCCGCCGTTCTCTGATAGCGGATGAACCACAATGACTGACAAAACTTTGCATTTCGTTTTTTAATCTCTAAAGATGTTTTATGAGAAAAGGAAAATATACCAAAAGATGCAGCTTGAAAAGCTCTTCAATCTGGAAAGTAAAACTTATTTTAATTTGTGTATTTTAGTTTTCGAAAAAAAAGCAAAACTCCGTACGATCAATGTTTGTTACCAAGTAGTGGGATCCACTTGTGGGATCCGTCGGGTCGAATGTGTTAATCCTATCAAACGATATTCATATTATAAAATATAGAAAAAATTGTGCAAGATCAGCAGCTATGTTTATTGAAAGTATATTCTTTTTATTTCTAATAGAGACAGGATACCACGTACCAATTGAAGCCGTCATTTTTTGTGAAAGTTGTAATTAAAATAAGAATTTAGTCTGCTTGAGTATCTTTAACACGTGAATGTGGGAAATAGAAAATCAAAAAATACTTAATCTCAATACTCAATGATGGAACATTCAATGGTTCAATCGAGAAAAGTAAACTGAGATTCGATCCAGTTACTTCAAAAGAGAAAACAAAAACTGCATATTTTTGGAATGGACTAACCAAAAATAAATTTCAGAGTAACATGTATTACGCACAGTTCCTTTGAAAACATTTTTTGAAAATTAATTTATTAAAGAAGCGTGTTTCAAAATGTTATTATAAATACACTTTAATGTAAAGGCCGCACAAATGTACAGCCAAAAGAAAAAAAAACAAATAAGTATTTAACAGATTGACCACCTTAAGACATTTTCCTACCAGTTTCTTAGTTTTGATAAAATACTCTAACATGAATAGAATCAGACTTGCTAGTACATATGCATCGAAAGGTATATATTCAATATAAATTTTTCAGTTAATCTGAATTGTAATTTGAAGTTTTTAATCCTTTGGGTCCGAGCGACGAACATGTTCGTCCTGGAATTTTGCGCGCTGAATACCTTTAAAAAACATGGTGTTTTTGTTATTTAATGATATAAATTGCATGAATATTTGTATATAGGATATTTGTGCAGTTAAGGTTATCTATACTTGCTGATGATTACTGGTTGACTTTTAACCCTTTGAGTCCGAGATTATTTTTATATAGTATAAAGGATGCGAGTAGATTGATAGGCGAATCAGTCCTACAATAAGTTTTGGATTCGAAACTCCAACTATATTATACCAAACGAAAGAGCTTAGTGAGTTGAGCATTTTTTGTAACGGAGCTTGATCTTTTAAATGATACCATGAAGAATTCTCAATAAGCTAAATTGTAAAATTTCAGTTATTTTAGTCGTTGTCATGCTCAGAACTCTCCATGGTTTCATTTAAAAGGTAAGGTTCTGTCACAAAAACTGCTCAACTGACGAAGCTCCTTCGTTTGGTATAATATAGTTGGGGTTTCGAATCAAAAAGATTTTATAGGGCTGATTTGCCTATCAACCTCTCTCGTACTTTTTACTAGATAAAAATAATTCCGGACTCAAAGGGTTAAGAAATTCAATCTTCCTTTACGACAGAATCATGAAGATCCAAGTCGACACTTTTACCTGGTAATCTGTACGAACTAAGTGTAAGGTCGATTTGATTCCACAGGCATATCGAACAATAGCTGCATCTGGATCGACGGTGACGTGAACTTCATAATCTATCCCTTGAGCAAGACTAAGATTGTGATTACCAAGTTTCTTCTTGTTTTTTTCGATCCATTGATTTATAGTTGAGCTAATGCGGTTTTTATGATAGTCAATAGCTGTTGAAACATCAGGTGTAGTAATATTGGACTTTGAAGATCCGGAAACTGACGTCATTGTAAATAAATTCGATATTGTCGTATTAGTATCAGCATCAATTGCGCTGGTTACAGAATAATTAGAGGAAGTATATGCACTCCTGCCTTGTCTCGCCATTCGTGTTAATTCGTCTTTCTTCTTCGTTAAAAGCAGTGGCGTAGCCAGCAGGGGGCCAGGGGGAGCTGAGCCCCCCC